AAAAAAAAAAAAAAAATAGAAAACATTAGCTGGGCCTCCTGGCGTGCACCTGTAGTCCAGCTACTCAAGAGGCTGAGACAGGAGGATCACTTGAGCCCAGCAGTTTGAGGTTGCTATGAGCTAGGCTGATGCCATGGCACCTGGGTGACAGAGGGAGATTGTCTCAAAAAAGAAAAAAAAAAAGAAAGAAAGTAATGATCGTAACTGATCTAAAACACCACTTAAACAAAAATCCTTAAGACCTAAGTTATTTAAAAGAAAAAAAAAAGAGTGAGAGGACATATAAAGGAAAAATCTTCTTTACAGCAGAATGTCAAATAATAATCTAAGTGGTAGATATATGGGTGTTCATTGTACAGTCTTTCACCCTTTTATATTTGAAAATGCTGGGGGTGGGAATCAATGACATTTTAAATAAGTGAGATTAAGAAGCTAAAGTGATCAACAAATATATTAAGAATCCTGGATTTGATTTTGGTTTAAAACCTGGTAAGGGTGCTTGCCTCTGGACAAAGGTGGGATTTGACAAGGCCACCAGTGGCAACAACAGTGTCTTTGTACAAATTAGAAAAAAGTACCTACACTGGGCTGAGTACCTGGAAAAGTGGGCCCCTCCCTCTTACTCTTTGCATGGAACAGACTCACATGTACCTTTGGCTGAGAACTACAGTGTAAGACATGACCTTTGAGGACAGTGGTTTAATGTACTACTTCTTTTGTTTAATTAAAAAATATCTGTATCAACTCTGATAATTTGATTAATTCATTTCAACACCCTACCATTCTTTACAAATTTACAACTATTTCACCTCTGTAGACTAGAAGATGGTGAAAGAATATAAGAAGAATGAGACTCATTTTTCATTGTGCATTCTTCAGGAAACTTACATTTTTTTAAAAAAACATATTTATCACGTTTATAATAAAAACTAAAGAAATGCTTCATGTATTTCTACAAACAGGCAGAATGGTTGCAGAATGCTTTCTCTATTACAACTATAGGGAAGAAAATGTCTTTTAACATCTTGACTAAAACACAGGTAATATCAGTGCCCGGAAACGACTAAGTGTCATAATCCCATAACCATGCAGTATTCCCGTAAGATCCAGAAAACAGTCTATCCATGACTAATGTTAGAACAAACAGGATCATTAAAAAGATATGGTGCAAAGTGAAATAAGCCTGTCTGAAAAGGACAAATAATGTATGGTTCAACTTATATAAGGTCCCTAGAGTAGTCAAATCCTTAGAGACAGAAAGTAGAATGGTAGGTGCCAGGGGCTGGGAGAGGAAGGAATGGGGAGCTGCTGTTTAATGAGGACAGAGTTTCAGGTTGGGACAATACAAAAGTTCTGGAGATAGATGGTGGGGATGGTTGCACAATAATGTGAATTTACTTAATGCCACTAAATTGTCCACTTAAAAATGATAAAAATGACAAATTTTATGTTATATACATTTTTCCACCCAAAAAAGAGAAAAAAGGCATAGTGGTATACTTACACATTCAAATCATAGTAATTCTTCAAATGAATTAATTCTTCAATAAACCCATTCGCTACATCTGGAAATCTTGCTTCCTAGAAAGGAATAAGAACATTATTTATATTTTATTCACTAGAATGGTTTCAAATGGCAATAAAAACCAGATGGCAAAAAGTATATAAAATGACTAAACACTAGAAAAGGGCTATAAAGCAGGTTTGTGTGTGGTTTAAAATTCAGTGCTACATTCCCAGATTCATCTGACTAAACAGAAGACGAAATCTAGACAAGTGAAATAATCTGGTCCTCTGCCCCTAATTTATAGATCCATTCTTCATTCTTTCAACAAATACTGAACACTTCTGCCCAGGCAAAGGGAGTCCAAACACAAATAAGGTACAATTCCATGCCTGCCCTCAAGAAGCACACAACCTAGAGCCGGATGGAAACACCTGGGTGAAAAGTAGGATTAAGGAACTTACTCAAAGGCAAACGGCAGCTGACTCTGGATGGACGTAAAGCCCTGCATTACTATGTCAGTGCAACCCAACAGAGCTTTGTATAATGATGGAAATGCTCTTCTTTGTGCTTTCCAATGAGGTAGCTATTAACATCATGTGGCTACTGAGGCTAAAATGTGACTGGTGCCATTGGAAACTGTATTTGTAATTTAACTATAAGACATTTAACTATAAACAGCCACATGAGGCTACTGACTGCCATATTAGACAACATAGGTCTAGGTCATCCAATAAACCTACCGTAGGGGTTTCAGTATAAACTCAAGGATTTTGAAAAAACTGTGGAGACTGCAGGTATGACAGCACCAGGCCACCATGATACGCAGCTAGATTCTTAGAGGGCTTCCTGGAGGGCTAAGTATAGATTAAGGAACCTTGATTCCATTTTCATGTCTTCAGAGTTTCTCCTCTATTCTATACACCTAGATATATACCTCTTATGAAAATGAAGTCCACACACAAATCTTTTTTTTGCAATGAAAGAAAACTCAGTATACTTAGTTTCTACAATTATTCATTTGATAAAATAAAACTTACTGTTTCCTTCACTAGCAGTGCAACAAGTTCTTGATCTACCTCAGCAACTTCTTGCCCCCAAATGTTTTCCAAGTTGGGCTCCTGAGATCCTTGCATTGGAAAGGCTGGACCTGGCTCTTCATCATCTGTTGCTAATTGTTGGTCTTCAAGCTCTCCCAGAGGATGGGCAGGCTGAGGGGACGAGGGGCCTGGAATCCCATCCTGCTGGGGTTCTGGTCTTGGAAAAGCTGGCCTTGGAAAAGCTGGTCCCGGAAGTTCATGCTGAAACAACAAGGCAACCAGTTCTGCTTCAGGCTGCCGCTCCTGAGGAACAACCTGGTTTGTTATCTCACGGGGCTGTTGGTTTAGAGACTGGAGGTAAGGATGGTCTAACCAGCAGTCTTCTTCAATGGCCTGATCATCTTCTATAGCAGATGACTCTTCGAGATTAGATAAAAGTTCTGTCTCTGAGTCTTCAGATGACTGGTTCTGAATTTCCAAAGGATCGCCTTCTCCGAAAAGGAGGCTACTTTCTTCCAAGATTATGACCTTCTGCTCTGATCTGGGCTTGACAATGTCATTTGCTGCTTGGTTATGACTTGGTCCAGGTTTGGGTTCTCCTTCTGTTTGGCCACTTGGCTTAGTGAATTGAGAGACTCCAGGAGGCCCAAGATCCAGAAATTCACCGTAGTCATCCTCAGAATCATCCTGTGCCCCAGAATCAAACAATGGGTTGTTACACACTGAAAAATAGCTGCTCTTATCAGATTCAAATGCTGCTCTAGACTTTTTAGGCCTTTCTTCTCCCAATCTTTTCAGATCTTGCCACTGGGCAGCTGGTTTGATGAGATTGGGTCGTGATGTCTGAGGTCTATTTGTCTAAGAAAAAATGAAATTTCAATAATAATAATAATAATTCAATGTCTTTCCTATGCCTATTCCTCCTCGTTGAGCTTCTAAGATAGGATAGGAAAGAAAAAACTACTAACATGCTCCCCCTTAACAATATCTATTTTTCTCATATATCTCAACATTAAAATTTGATCACACTATAGTATCTGTAAGAATCAAAGTAGCTGTTCACTGACTGAAGCTTGAGATATAGTCTGAATTATAATCTAACCTCTGAGACCACTAGAACAAAAACTTCACAGAAGAGGAAATAATAAAAGAATGCTAACACAGCAGAGGAATAAGAAATGTTCAATGAACACATGAAAAGAATCTAAAGCTCATTAGTAATCAGCAAACCGAAAATTAAAAGATGATTTTTTTTTTCCCTTGTAAGACTGGAAAACTTTTTAACTGGATAATATCAAGCATTGGTGAGGATGTATGAAAACTTTTTTTTTTTTTGAGACAGAGTCTCACTCGTTTGCCCGGGCTAGAGTGCCGTGGCGTCAGCCTAGCTCACAACAACCTCAAAGTTCCTGGGCTCAAGCGATCCTCCTGCCTCAGCCTCCCGAGTAGCTGGGACTACGGGCATGCGCCACCATGCCCGGCTAATTTTTTCTATATATTTTTAGTTGTCCGATTAATTTCTTTCTATTTTTAGTAGAGACGGGGTCTCGCTCTTGCTCAGGCTGGTTTCGAACTCCCGAGCTCAAACAATCCACCCGCCTTGGCCTCCCAGAGTGCTGGGATTACAGGCGTGAGCCACCGCGCCTGGCCGAAAACTTTTATACTACCATCAACTGCTGGTGAATTTAGGAGAGCAATTTTGCACTATTTATTAAAGTAAAAAATGTATATACTTAGATATGCCATTATCATTTTTTCATATCTATTCTACAAACCCTTAAGAGACTAGTTAACTATTAATATGTGTGTATATGTTTCTGTACATATACATAAAGAAATGATTGTGTTTCTGTCTGATTTTTTTTTTATAAATAGAATCATTCTGTATATATATTGTTTTACAGTATGCTTTTCTTCATTTAATGCCATTTCTTGGTGAGCTTTCCATTTCAGTACATATTGAGCTATCTCTTTCTGGTGGGGCAAAGTTGTATTTGTAGAACAAGTAATAATTAACCATTCTCTAAGGGACAAACTTTAGAATTTCTCTAGCTTTTTTTTCTTTTTATGCTACAAGCAATGTGGTGGTAAATATCCTTTTATATGCCCTCTTTAGATACACAAGATATTTTTCATAGATACGAAAAAACGATAATGACATATAAGTGTATACATTTTTAACTTTAATAAATAGTACACAATTGCTCTCCTAAATTAAAATTCAAAGAAAAGATCTGGAAAAATGTATGTCAAACTGATAACACCAGTTCCTCTGGCAAATCTCATGTAAGAAAGGGGCTGGTGAATGTCAAGCTTCAGGGTGAGTCCTTGAAGGGCTAACCCACTTGAAATAAGGGCAAACTGCAAATGTGCCTCCCAAGAACTGAATTTCAGTTTGGACAGTTCAACATCCTGAATTTCAGATTGCTGGTGCCCTTGCTCTTCTTCAAGAAACCAACGTAGGTCATCCTCAGTAGAGAAATATAACATCACCTAGGGATCTCAAAATTTTCAGACACAAAGATGGCATACAAGAATTTGATGCAACAATAGAAAACCAAAAGCAAAAGAAGTAACGGACAACAGAGATAAACCTACAAAGTTTTTAGACAGTGAAGTTATCAGACATGAATTCTAAAATAACAATTAGCATGTTTAGGGAAATAAAAGACCAAGTTAAGAATTTCAGCAGAGAAGAATCAAATGCAAATTCCAGAATGGAAAAAAACCATAACTAAGATTAGGAATCAATGGATGGATATAGAATATTTTAAATAAGTATAATTGAAGAGAGAAATCAGTGAATTGAAAGGCATGTCATAGGAAAATGGCCAGAATAAGACAAACAAAAATCAAAATTATGTAATAGGACACACAAAGAATATAATGAAAAGGTGGTCTTAACAACTATGTAACTGGAGTTCTAGAAGAAAAGGAGAGAGAAGAAGTAATATTTGGAGGCAAAATACAAATATTCAAGAAAGACAGTGGCTTGATTTCAGTTTTGAAGATCCTAACAGGATGAATTTAAAACTCTGAATAATATAAACCTAGGTATAACATAGTAAAACAACAGAAAACAGATACAAAGAGAAATTCTTAACAGCAAAAGCACACATTGCCTTCAAAACAACAAAAATAAGACTGACTTTTCAACAGAAAAATGGAATCCAGAAAACATTAAAATAGTATCTTCTTAGTGTTGAAAGAAAATAACTGTCACACAGAATTTTATATTCAATGAAAGCATTAGCAGATCTGCCAAAAAGAAAATTCTAAAAGGTAGTCTTTAGGCAGAAGAAAAATAATCTCAGCTTTAAGGCTAGAGATTCAGAAAGAAATGAAGAGCAACAAAAATGGTAAATATTTGGGTACGATGATAAATACTGACTACATAAAACAAAACATATTGTGGATTTAAAAAAATGTATGCAGACTGGGTGCCTATAGTCCCAGCTACATAGGAGGCTTGAGGCAGGAAGACTGCTTGAGCCCACGAGCTTGAGTCCAGCCTAGGCAACGCAGTGAGACCCCCATCTCTAAATAAGCAAATAAAATAAAAAATGAACACAGAATTAAAATATATAACAAAAATAGTATTTATGTTTGGAGAGGAATAAATAGAGTTAAAGTGTTTTAGGGTTCTTTCCATTATTCAGCAAGAGTTTAGAGCACTAATTTATATTCATGCTGAGGTCTCTAGAACGTAAGGAATCCAAAACTAGCCCTTAAAATAAATCATATGTATTAGACATGACACCAAAAGTGACAAATGACACAGGAAAAAATAAATTGGACTTCAGCGAAATTAAAAACTTTTGTGTTTCAAAGGACATCATCAAGAAAGTGAAAAAAATAACTCACAGAATGAGAAAAAATATTTGCAAATAAGATACCTGATAAAGGTATAGTGTCCAGAATATATAAACAATCCATTTAAAAAAAACTAGAAAAAGATACTGCATAGACACTTCTCCAAAGAATATATAAAAATCCAACGAAGATTAAAAATAGCCAGTAAGTACATGAATGATGCTCAACAGCAATGGCCACAGAGATACGCAAATCAAAATCACAAGGAGGGCCAGGCGTAGTAGCTCACGCCTGTAATCCTAGCACTCTGGGATGCCTAGGTGGGAGGATCAGTTGAGGTCAGGAGTTTGAGACCAGCCTGAGCAAGAGAGAGACCCCGTCTCTACTAAAAACAGAAAAAAATTAGCCGGGAGCAGTGCCTGTAGTCCCAGCTACTCAGGAGGCTGAAGTAGGAGGATTGCTTGAGCCCAGGAGTTGGAGGTTGCTGTGAGCTAGGCTGATGCCATGGCACTCTAGCCGGGTGACAGAGTGCGACTTTGTCTCAAACAAACAAAAAACCAAAAATCGCAACGAGATACTTCACACAACCAACTATATCAAAAGACAACAACAAGTGTTGGCAAGAATACGAAGAAACTGGAACGGTTATACACTGCTGGCAGGAATGTAAGATGAAGCAGTTGCTGTGATAAACAGTCTGGTAAGGTTACAAACAGTTACTATATGATCTAGCAATTCCACTCTTATTATATACCAATAGAAATGAAAACGTACATCCACACAAAAACTTGTACATGAATGTTTATAGCAGCATTATTCATTATAGCCCAAAAGTAGAAACAACCCAAATGGCCATCAGTATAGGTGAGCAAACAAAATGTGGTATACTCATATAATGGAATATTGTTAAACAATGAAAAGGAATAAAATATTGATTCAGGCTACATCACAGATGAACCTTGAAAACATTAGGTTAAATTAAAGAAGCTGGCCACAAAGGACCATATACTATATGACTCTATTTATATAAAGTACCTAGAATAGGCAAACCTACACAGACAGAAAGTATATTAGTAGTTGCCCAGGACTAGGTGGGATCGAAAATTGTGAGGTTATGGTTAAGGGGTGCAGAATTTCCTCATGGGGTAATTAAAATGTTCTAAAATTAATTGTGGTGATGGATGCAAAACTGTGAGTATAATAAGAGCCACTGAACTGTATGCTTTAAATGATGAACTGTATGGTATGTGAACTGTATTTCAATAAAGTTATTTTTCAAAAAAGAATGAAGTACCGATATATGCTGCAACATGGATGAACCTTGAAAATATTATACTAAGAAGCCAGTCATAAAAGACTACAAATTGTATGATTTCATTTATGTGAAATATCCATCACAGGCAACTCTACAAAGATAGAAGTAGATTCATGATTGCCTAGGGTGGGAAGTGGGGGGCAGAGGTAGGGAAATGATGGAGAGTTAATGATGACAGGTAGAAGGTATCCTTTTGGGGTGATGAAAATGTTCTAAAATTGATTGTGGTGACAGTTGCACAACTCTGTGATATACACTAAAAACCACTGAATTGTACAATTTAGATGGATGAACTGTGTAGTAAGTGAATTATATCTTGATAAAGTTGTTTCGAGAGAGAGCACATGGAGAGGTCCTGAAGACAGCGATGCCTGCCAGTCTCTGGCTCCCCAGTCTCCCACTGTCCCAGCTCCAGCACCATCTGACAATGGCCAAATGAGAGGCCCCAAGCCAAAATCATCCAGCTGAGCTCTTTGATTGCAGTTGTTTTATGCCATTAAGTTTGAAGGTGGTATGTTACATGGTAATAAGTAACTAGACAATAACATAAAAGAATGAATAACTCAAAAACTTAGTAAAAGGACCGTAAAATAAATGTTAAAGAAGCATGTTAAATATACTAAAGCAGAAGAAAAGAATAAAGACAAAAACAAACAAATAAGAAAACAAACAGTAGCACTATGAGATAAATCTCAGAGCTGTTTCTCTGGTAAACAAGGAGCAAGGAAAACAAGGGAGGCTAATGGGTAGCTCATCAAATCAAGAAACAGGGGTGGGGTACACTAAAAGCCCTACAAACAACCAGGACACTGGAAAAGGGACTGCCCCCACAAGATTTCAGGGAAAGTCCCTAAAAACAGGCTGCCTACACTCTGATAATAATCTCCATGTTAGGCCAGGCGTGGTGGCTCAAGCCTGTAATCCTAGCACTCTAAGAGGCCGAGGCAGGCGGATTGTTTGAGCTCAGGAGTTCGAGACCAGCCTGAGCAAGAGCGAGACCCCATCTCTACTAAAAAAATAGAAAGGAAATTATCTGGACAAGTAAAAATATATAGAAAAAAAAATTAGCCGGGCATGGTGGCGCATGCCTGTAGTCCCAGCTACTCGGGAGGCTGAGGCAGTAGGATCGCTTGAGCCCAGGAGTTTGAGGCTGCTGTGAGCTAGGCTGACGCCACGGCACTCACTCTAGTCAGGGCAACAGAGTGAGACTCTCTGTCTCAAAAAAAACAAAAAAAATAATCTCCATGTTAACCCAGGGAAGGTTCGGCTCTTACTCCAGTATTCTTAGGTAGCCCTGAAGTCAGTAATCTAATCAAAAGGCTAAACTGAAAAGATACTCTATGGAACTAAATCAGTTTCCAAAATACAACTTTCAGACATTTAGCTAGCTATTTTGATACTCTTTGTAAAATAAGACTCATGCCTGTAATCCTAGCACTCTGGGAGGCTGAGGCAGGAGGATCACTTGAGCGCAGGAGTTTGGGGTTGCTGTGAGCTAGGCTGATGCCCCGTCACTCTAGCCTGGGCGACAGAGAAAGACTCTGTCATTCATTCACTCATTCATACATACATACATACATACATACGTAAATGAAGTTTACATTAACAAACCTTACCTTTGTTTAAGGTGCTTTTCCCTAGCCAGTTCAACTTAACTGGGCCTTTACCTACGCCTTTCGTTGTTTTGACAAATAATAATGTTTAGATCTAAGTTTTGTAAGTTGTCTACCTTTTTTCACATGGGAGTCCATCCCTTTGGAAGTGCAAACTGAGAGCTACCTGGTTAGCAACTGCTTTAAGGACTGATGGTCTAAAGGGGGGAGAGAAACTACAGTTGATTCTTAAACAAGGTTTGAAGTGCACAGGTCCACTTACATGTGGATTTTCTTCCACTTCTGCCTTCCTTTCTACTCTTCCTCGGCCTCCTCAATATGATGACAATGAGGAGAATAAGACTTTTATGATGATCCATTTCCACTTAATGAAAAGTAAATACATTTTCTCTTCCTTATGATTTTCTTAATAATATTTTCTTTTCTCTAGCTTAAAGAATACAGTATATAATACATATAACATAAAAATATGTGTTAATGGACTGTTTATTTTATCAGTAAGGCTGCAGTCAACAGTAGACTATTAGCTGTTAACCAAGATCAAACAGAGCAAGAATTAATTACATGAGACTGAATGAACTGATAAAGAATTCAAGATTTTTATGGCTTCTTTATTTGAAACATTGCTGGTTCTTTTAATGTTTTGTTTTCCAAATTTAAGAAAACTTTTTTTTTCTTTTAAGCTATCTATAGCTTCCAGCAATTTGGTAAAGCATACTTTTGTAAACAAAAATTGAAACATTGCTTTTTCTTCCTACGTGGTACCAGAAACCATTATTGAGTATTCTCATTTTTATGGCAATATGGTTTTTTGTGTAAGTCCGATAAGAATCTGCTTTCTTTATAATAAGATACATTCAGAAACTGGTTATATTACCAAGGCTTTGACTGAAATGTCACATTCGAAAATGTGCATACGGTGCCTGGCTTCAAGGGTTCCCTGCCTTATACTGAATGAGTAAAAGTCACCTCCTGGCAAGCCCAGGAACCTCAAGATACTAGATACAAAGGCAAAATCTAATGTCTGCCTTGGTTTAGCTTCCTAGTATTGAGAGGTTTCTTTAAAGTCCAATCTGAGATTCCTTGTCAAAATTTCCAGCAAAGCAAATTTAAAAGGCGCCTGTGTGGTTATTCTTGTGGCACTTATATAAATAATCAAGCAAACTGGTCTTAATGTGATGTATCTTTGACGGAAATGGGGGCTACTCTTACCGAGAAAAATTACATTTCAAAAGAAAAATACAGTACAATCTGTCATTATATTGTAGCCCTGTTCACTGTTTTTGAGTTTTTATTATCTACCTGTAGACTGGACTGAATTCTGAAATCTTCTAGTTTTCTCTGTATCTGGCTACAACCCTCCACTGAAGGAAAACTGCTCAGTTCCTGGAGCCCAATAAGCCGAAGCTGGACAACTCACCGTAAGTTTCAAGGGACAAGTCTCATGCCTGATGTGTGAGCCTCATAGAGAGTTTACGAGAATGCCTGATGCCATAACCAGAGACATTCAAACTGCGAACCAGGACAAGAAGTGACCAATTTCATGCTGTGGACAGCTTTTCCCAACCATTGGAGTAAGACTACCGTAAGACTCTTAACCCTCTTAATTTCTCCTTACTTATGCTTCTTTTCCTTGACAGGATAATGTTGTAGCTGAAATTTCATAATCAGTAGCTTCTGCAGGTAGCTTGTACTCCCTGCTTTAATTTAACCCAGTCATGCAATGCTAACTAAACGGAAAGGAATCTGTACAGCTGACAACACTTCTTGCACATAAACAAACACACTGAGTATGGCAAAGCCAACTACTTGGTTAAAATAGGTAGACTCCTTGTCTGTCTTGGTTTGGTTCACAGGACCAGAGCTAAGGAGAATACTCCATCCAAATTCGTGGTATTACCCTGCCAGCCTCCCTGGTATACTGTATCCTCTCAAAAAGTTTTCTTTCTTTTTTTTTTGAAACAGGATCTCACTCTGTCGCCTGGGCTAGAGCTTAGTGGTGTCATCACAGTTCACTGCAATCTCAAACTCCTGGGGTCAAGTAATTCTCCTCCCTCAGACTCCTGAGTAGCTGGGACTACAGGAGCACACCACCACACCCAGCTAATTTTTGTATTTTTTGTAGAGACAGGGGTCTCACTATGTTGCCCAGGCTGGTCTTGAACTCCTGACCTCAAGGGATCTTCCTACCTTAGCCTCCCACAGGACTAGAATTATAGGCATGAGCTAACACATCCAGCCCTTCAAAAGGTTTTAAATGCTTCCATATAGCCATCTGTCAAAGGTAAAATGGTCTCTCTCCAGCTGGAGCAACAAAAACTGAAAGAAATGCATGACAATGAAGAGGACACCATACATAACTTACGAATGGCATGCTGGGACTGGAAAACCCAAAATGATGGTAAGTGAGTAGTGCTGATGCCTCAAAAGGGAAGAAATGTTAAATAAAAATTATAGGAGGCCACTGTTTTGGACTAAGTTTCTGCACTAGGCCCCAAAAGACCAGATTAAAAACCAAAATGGAGTCACCCATGCTAAAGTCCACCTCACTGAACCTAAACTAAGTTGTCATCTGACCTTCCAAGAAATCAAGAGAGGTAACAGGTAACTGTCAGTTTCCGAAACAGTTTAAATCTTCAATCAGCATTATAATGAAGTTCCTTCTGCTTTAATCCTCACACAGAAAAGGTAGCCTGAAGTAACCTGGTAACTAGTCATTTTTCTACTATTCTGTCTCCTAGTCCCACCTTATAAGAAAAGAACTTTGAAAGGACTAATATGCTCTTTGTTCTTTGCTTCTGCTTTCTTCAGCCCTTTTCTGTCTCTAAAGCCAACCTCCTCTACTCAGCTCATTGGAACTCTTATGTTATTTTTATGGAATGAAGTGTTACCTGATTCTAGAATCACAGTAAAGCCAATTGAGATCTTTAAACTTAAAAAAAAAAGGGAAAAGAAAAAAAAAAGCAACAGACCTTTAAATTAAAAAAACAAAAACAACAGCTAAAAAGTACAATGGAAGAAAAGATACCATTCACAAAAGCAAGAGAAAAGACAAAACAACCAAGAAAGAACAATGAATGTTAAAATATCTATATTAAGAAACATTCAAAATGCTCTGGCTGAGGAATATAAAAGGCTAACTACACAGAAAGACAAAACTTGTTCTTGGTTAGAAAGAGTCAGTACTGGCTGGGTGTGGTGGCTCACGCCTGTAATCCTAGCACTGTGGGCGGCCAAGGCAGGAGGATTGCTTGAGCCTAGGAGTTTAATTAAGACTAGCCTGAGCAACATAGCTAGACTTCATCTCTACAAAAAAAATTTAAAAACCAGGTGTGGGGGTGCACACCTATACTCCTAGCTACTAGGGTGGCTGAGGCAGGAAGATCACTTGAGTTCAGGAATTCGAGGTTCCAGTTACCTAAGATCAGGCCAATGCACTCCAACCTGGTTAACAGAGCAAGACTTTGTCTCTTAAAAAAAAAAAAAGTACTGTAAAAATTGTTCTATAGATATAACAATAACATTTGTTTTGGATTAGACAAACTGATTATCTACATATCTATTTATATTCTGCAACTAAAAAAGCTGAACATAAAACATAAAAATGTATGTATAAGAATGTCTAGGACGATTCTGAAAAATGTGCGGTAATACAGGGAGATACGCCCTACCTGACAGTAAGATACATTATAATGTAGGAATTATGACAGTGTAGACTGGTGCATGCATAGTCAGATAGAGCAAGGGTAGAGAGGTTCATGGCTTTTCAATTTAAGGGGACAGGAGGTGGAATGGAGAGGGGCTGTTCTTAGAAATGTGTAACAAGTGCACAGAGGTGCTCTCGGCTGTTCTATAATAAGGCCCACAGAGTGGGTGAAAAATCAGAGACTAACTTGCAACAGTTTAAGAAAACTCACTTCTGTCAGGATGACATCATCATCCAGGTCCTCTTCGTCATGTTGCTGAGGAGCCGGGGTTACCAGCATTGGAATCCCTTCCTCATCAGAGGAGTCAGATATGGTGATGGGCGCATCTCTGAGATTGATCCAGTCTACAGGAAGGCAGAGAACACTGTTACTGGGAGGCTGGCACGATCATATTCAATCCTTTAGTTCAATTTTGGTGTGAAAAAGGTCAGGCCTAAAGCCAAGTTCATAGCTACTAGTATAGTCCACTAGCAGCACAAGCACTCAAGCATTAAGACTCATGTTTCTGTGCTGATTTTTGCCAATAATACATTTGGGGACTTGCTAAAGAAAATCTGACAATTACTATGTGCAAAATATGAACTTTTTTCTTGTATTAATATTAGGGTTGAAGAAATCTCTCGATAAAATCTTCTGGACTGCTGATTTCTTTAAAGTGAAACCATGGCCTCTCAGCCATCTCTATTCCTCCCAGGAATAAAAGACTTTTTTATTTAAACTGCTAGGTCTGAAAAAATGATCACTCAGAAACAGTAATATTTTCATTTAAAACACTAAAATTTGCTCACCTTAGACATAAACTTTAAGAATCATTTAAGCAAACATATTTTAATGTTTTAGTCAAGCACCCACTTAGCATCTATGACAATAAACAATTTAACTTTCCTAGTTTCCTATTAAATACAACTATAATTTTAACCATCTAGATATAGTAATTCTGTTCAAGGTCTCTTCTTCCTTTTATCTGTCTAAAGACAGAACATGTTTGATATGAATTACAGGATAACACAAGCTGATATTTTTTCCTGTCTGGTTTGATGGAAATGTCAAGGTCAAAATGGGCAATAAAGAGAAAATGCATTAAGTGAGCTTAAAGTAAGGAAGGAGAAAGAAGAACAAGAAAGAGGCATCATCATTACAATTTCTGAAATTCCTCCATTAAAGCTGTAATGTCTTTCTCAAGGTTAATGCCTCAAGTATTTCTTGGCACTCTACAATTTGAAAAGCAATCAAAAATCAATGATTTCACTTCATTCCTATAAGAAAGCAGCTGTGATGCCAGGGACAACAGTTGCATCTGTAGCATCTAACGTCAGATAGCCTGAGTTTAAATCTCAGCTCTACCACACATTAGCTATTGGGGTTGTTACCTAACTTCTTTAAACATCCACTTCCTCAACATTTAAAAAAGGTTAAAAAGGCTGCCTACTTAAAATACTTATGGCCCTGCCCCTCCTTGCCTGCTTCTCCTCACCTGCCCCTCCTAAAATAAATGTGAAGATTAGTTGAGAAAACCCAGACAAGATGCTTACTACTTATAGTTCTTAGACTGACAAATGTAACCAACTGAACTGAGGGCCTGAATAGGTACATTATAAAGAACTTCCAGTTAAACCTGGCAGAATGAATCCAAGTGATTATCACCATCATTTCCTAAAACTCCACTAAAATGACAGTAAGGGAACTTTAAAAAAGTATATACCCTCGAGTACACAAAGAAGAGAAGGGAGCTCCTAGTAGGCAGGAGAATTTAACAAAATTCTGATAAACAGTATATTTACAGGTGGCAAGTGCTTCAGCAGATTGGAGAAGGTTCAAACCCACAGCCTACAGAGGGGACAGCTGACCAGAAGTGGCCTAATTCATGGTGAATCCCAGAATAGGACAGAAATCGATGGCACAAGATACTTTTGAGACCAGAAATCAGAGGTGATTCAGTCTGTATTGTAAGCAAAGACATTTCTACATTTCTTCTTCTATCCTACGTAGCCAAGTGACAAGCCACAGCCACCCAGGCAAAAGACAAAGATGAGTGTAGGTGTAGATCTCTTTGTATTTATCCTTCTTGGGAGTCCATTTCCTAGATGTACAGATTAACATTTTTCATCAAATTTAGGAAGTTTTCAGCCACTGTTTATTCAAATATTTTTTTCTGTCCCTTCTGTTTTTCTTTCCTCTCCCTCTGAGACTTTCATTACGCATATGTTAATAAGCTAATGGTATCCTCAAAATTCTTTGAAGTTCTTTTCATTTTTCTTCATTCTTTTTTCCTTCTATTCTACAGATCAGATAATCTCTGTCAATCACTTATTCTTCTGCTAGCTCAGATCTGTTGTCAAACAGATCTTTAGTGAATTTTTCATTTTCGTTATTGTACTTTTGACCTCCAGAGTTTCCATATATATATTTTTTTAAAGAGATGAGGTCTCACCGTATCACTCAGACTGGTCCCCAACTCCTGGCCTTAAGCAATCCTCCTACCTCAGCTTCCCGAACAGCTGGGACTATAGTTGCGAGCCACTGTGCTCAGCTTTGTTCTTTTTTAAAATCATTTCTAGTGCTTTACCAATGTTCTTTATTTAATGACTCACTGTCATCATACTTTCTTTCAATTCTTTAAATGTGGTTTTCTTTAGTTCTTTGAACATATTTATAACAAGTAATTTGAAATCTCTACTAACTTCAACATTAGTTTCCAGAGAGAGAGCCTTTATGGATTCTTTCACCTGTGTATGTGTCAGACTTTCCTGTTTGTCTCAGTATTTTTTGTTGAAAACTGTATATTTAAGATAATATACCATAACAACTGTGGATTCTGATCCCGCCCCTGCACCGGGAGTAGTAGTTGTTGCTGTTTTTGTTTGTGCCTTGTATAGACTCATTCTGTGGAGTCTGTTTTCCCCAGTGTGGGGATGATCTCTGTTCAGGTCTTTTTTCTTTTTAATTCCTGTTTTCATTTTTAAGCCTTGCGTCCCAGGAGTTACCCCTGGGACAGCATAAGCTTAGTGGACAGCCATGCTTAAACATCTTGAGCCAGTAATGCTTCCACTCTTTGCAACTGGATCTGTGTGGTTTGGAGAATTCATCAGAGTTCAGGGACATTACAAGTCTGTTCTAGCTTTTAGTTCTGCCTTTGCAAAGCATCAATTTCTGACAAGGAATAGCAGCTTGCTAGGGCCTCTTACGTCTCTCAAGTGTGTTTATCACCTTGTGCATACGTATAACCTTTCGGACCACCAAGGATATGTAAGTTACTTAGGCATTCTTTGCCTGTCTCATTCCCTGATCTCCCTGCTAAATTTATGGCCAGTCTGCTGCTTGCCCTGACCAGTATCTAGACCTCAGATTAGCTGCGATGTTCGCCTTTTATGATTGTTTGTCACTGGGATTTCTACCGCTTTTGACAATGTCCCTGGGCATGGAATTCCCCCTCCCTCCCTCCATTCTTCTCCAAATAAAGTCTGCCCTTTTCACCATCCGTCTTCCCAGCCTGCTCCACAGGCAGGGCCGGCCCAGGTAGAACTTTACCATAGGAAAGAGATGGACCTGGGAAGCCACTAAGAGAATGGGAGCAGCCCCAGACTAAAACTCCATATATTTTCACTCTTCTTACCCAGAGTCAGTAGATTTTCCTGAACAAATGTTCTCAATTATTGTATGCCTTTGGCCAATTTCCAGTCTTTGAATGGTTGTTTTCAACAATTTTGTATAATTTTATTTATTTATTTTTTTTGAGACAGAGTCTCACTCTGTTGCCCTGGCTAGAGTGAGTGCCGTGGCGTCAGCCTAGCTCACAGCAACCTCAGACTCCTGGGCTCAAGCAATCCTACTGCCTCAGCCTCCCAAGTAGCTGGGACTACAGGCATGCGCCACCATGCCCGGCTAATTTTTTTTTTCTATATATTTTTTTAGCTGTCCGATTAATTTATTTCTATTTTTGGTAGAGACGGGGTCTCGCTCAGGCTGGTCTCGAACTCCTGAGCTCAAACAATCCGCCCGCCTCGGCCTCCCAGAGTGCTAGGATTACAGGCGTGAGCCACCTCGCCCGGCCTATTGTTGATTTTTTAGGGAGAGGATGCTAAGTTCCTCGCTCCTCGCTGAGCCATTCCAGAAGACCTGCCCCATGGAGGTTCATACTAAAGAGATACTGAGAAAGAGAAGCTCTAGCCTTTGGTACACCAGGCACTGGAGTTAAAAGGGAAAAGCAGCACTGCTGAAATAGGCTTAAGGAGTAAGATCCCAGCTGCCTTCTGCTGCTTGGTTCTCTGAATTCTTGCACACAGTCTTACAGTCCTTATTCAGGAAACTATAGATTCCTCTCTGGAAGAATTGGCCCAAGAAAAAGGTACACAACCCTGGGGGACCCAGTGAAAGTTGGTTTGAAACCTATCACCTTAAAGTCCAGTGGCTGACAAGATACTACATACCACACATATATAAACACATGAGGTTTTGATTAGTTTTTAAAAACGTAAGTTTAAAAAATCATAAATAATAATAAAGCAAATGCTACAAATCATGTGGATAGCCTCACGAGTTAATACAAAAGGCCCATCCGTGGGTAACCATCACCAGGTCAGGAAATACTTCCAGCGCACTGGTAACCTTCCTGTGCTTCTTTCAATCACTACTCTCTCCTTCCTCCCCAAAGGGAGGATTTCTATCTCCACAGACAAGTGCTGTTTTTGAGTATACGTTCTTCTCTGTCTAGCTTTCTTGCAAATAACATGTTTGAGATGCACCCATGTTGCATGCCGCTGTAGTTCTCTCTGCTGTATTTAATCCACCATGTGAATATATCATAAATTATTCTTTTGTTGATGGACACTTGAGTTGGTGCCAATTTTGGATAATGCCATTATAAACATTCTTATATAAGTCTTTGCAGTACTCATTCCAGTTGGGTACATTCTAGGAATGGAACTGCTAAGCCATAGGATAAGCACAGATTCAATTTTAGTAGGTAATGCTAGAAATTTTCCAAATTGTTTGTACTAATTTACACTCCCATCTGCAGTATAGGATAGTATCTGTTACGTCATGTCCTTACTGGAATGCAGCCATGCTCATGCGTTTATATTTAGTTTATAGCTGCTTTCATGCTACAATGGTATAGCTGAGTAGTTGCAGCAGAGATCACATGGCCTGCAAGGCTGAATACTGACCACTTGGCTCTTTAAATTTGCTAAGCCTTGGTTTTCATTATCAATTTTTCAGCTTTACTGCTTATTTAGTACATGTATTTTAGGCCACAAGTCTTCTTCAAAACATGGCATTAGAAGTATCTCATAAATTTCAACATATTATATTAATATTTTCATTATCATGCAACTCAAAATATCTAATTTCCATTGTGATTTCTCCTTTGAACCCTGGGTTGTTCTTAAGTATACTCCTATTTTCCACACATACTGAGATTTTCTAATTTAACCTCTATAAATAATTTATGGTTCAATGTGGTTAGAGAACATAATCTGTATGATTTCAATCCTCTGAAACTTAAAATTTTCTGGCTTAAAATATGGCTAATTTGGGTAAATTCATAGGGAGCAGTATTCCACACATGTCTATTATGTCAAGTTTGTTGGCCATGCTCTTCCACTCTTCTGTGGAATGTGTGGAAGGCCCATACAAATGCCTGGGCCTGCTCTCTCAATCACCGAAAGAAATGTGTTAACTCCTATTATGATTGTGGATTTGTCCAATTCTGCTTTTAGATTTGTCAATTTTTGCTTTGTATATTTTTGTATCATGTTACTTGGAGTACAGGGATTAGCTCTGTTTTATCTTCCCAGTGCTCTAAATGTTTTGTCATTATGAATTCTATCTTTATTAACGCTTCTGGTTTCTATCAGTTTTATCTGACAGTATATAGACATACTAGCTCTTTTTTTTTAGATATTTGTATGATGTATATTTATTCATTCCTGTACTTTCAATCTTTCTTTATTTTACCTTCATTTTTAAGCCTGTTTCCACTGGGTGTAAGTAGGTAAAATAGTATTTAGCAATTAAAAAGGAATGAATTACTGATACATGCAACAACATGGATGAATCTCAAAAACATTATGTTGAGCAAAAGAATTCAGGTACAAAGAGTATATAACGCATGAGTCCATTTATATGAAATTGGACAGTGACAAAAAGCAGATCAGTGGTTTCCTTAGGCCAGGAGTCGGGTAAGGATTGACTGCAAAGAGGCACAAGGGAATCTTTTTGGGGTGACAGAAATGTTCTACATCACTATTGAGGTGGTACATTCATCTGTCAAAACTCAATGAACTATACACTTAAAAAAAAAATAACAAACTACAGAGGTTGGTGCAAAACAAAAATTAATGCAGCTAATAAAAACAGAACAAATCTATCCACCTGAAGAAAATTCTTGCGATGGGTGCAGAGGATACAGATTTGTCTAACAAAAAATATACTTCCAAAGTCAGTAATTTTCCAAAAGGAATTAGTTGGTTTTTTTAGAGATGGGATCTTGCTCTGTCCCACAGGTTGGAGTGCAGTGGCATGATCATAGCTCACTGCAGACTTGATCTCCCTAGGCTCAAATGATCTTCCCACCTCAGTCTCCCTAAGTGCTGGGATTATAGGCATGAGCCACCATGCCTGGCTGCAATTAGCTGTTCTTAAAGAAACTCTGTTCAAGAATATTTAAGAATCAATTAAAAGACAACAACAACGACTAATTTAAAACCATTAATTTAAAATCTTAAAACCCAGTACTTCTTTTGTACTATATTTGCATAACTTGAGCAATTTTATTTTTCTCAATTTATCTGCTTAATAAAATTTGCTCAATTTAAAATGATCTGAAAGCCAAATATATATACAATTGACCCCTGAACGACAACACAGATTTGAACTGTAAGGGTCCACTTGTATGTGGATTTTCTTCTGCCTCTGCCACTCCTGGGACAGTAAGACCAACCCCTTTCTCCTTTTGCCTACTCTTCTGCCTACAGTGTGAGGACAAGGATGAAGACCTTTCAGATGTTCTATTTCCACTTAATAAATAGTAAATATATTTCCTCTTCTTATGATTTTCTTAACATTTTCTTTTTTCTAGCTTACTTTATTATAAGAATGCAGTATATACTACATATAAAATACAAAATATGTGTTCATTGACTGTCACTGGCAAGGCTTGCAGTCAACTGTAAGCTATTAGTAGTTAAGCCTTCAGGGAGTCAGAAGTTATACATGGGCTGGGTGCAGTGGCTCATGCCTGTAATCTCAGCACTCTGGGAGGCTAAGGCAGGAGGACTGCTTGAGCTCAGGAGCTCAAGACCAGCCTGAGCAAGAGTGAGAGATCCTGTCTCTACTAAAAATAGAAAAATTAGCTGGGCATCATGGCATGCTCCTGTAGTCCCAGCTACTTGGGAGGCTGAGGCAGGAGGATCACTTGAGCCCAGGAGTTTCAGTTTACAATGAGCTATGATGATGCCATTGCACTCTACCCAGAGCAACAGAATAAGACTCTGTCTCAAAAAAACAAAGGAAATTGAACCCCCCTCCTGACTACCCTTCTTTCAAAAAAAAAAAACAAATGAAAGTCATATGTGGATTTCCGACTACACTGGGGGTTGGCTCTTCTAATCCCCACACTGTTTAAGGGTCAACTATAATTTACTCCCTGCTGGAAAAAAATCATCTTCATAGCACAAAATATTATCAATGGGAGAAAACAAAACCAGTAAAACTTCTTCCATGGAATTTATACTTACAAAGAATAAATACATTAAGGATTCCTTTCTTACTCCTCAGCATTTTTTTCCCTTTTAGTCCAAGTGTATATGTGAATTGGGATTCGACAGGAAATTTCATACATATTTAAGAACGTTACTGAAATGCAGGCACTCTTCCCTTTACAAATTAATGAATTTTCTAAAATTTTAAACATGGTAAAACAAAAAAGTACATGTTCTAAAATTCCCCATGAGGTTAAGTCAGAATCTTCTGGCAAAAAAGGATTTTAAGCATCGTGTGAACACAAAGTCACTTTGGCAGCACTTATAGTCTTTTAGATCATATGGACTGAGAGAAGTGTTCCTCTGCAGTCACCATTCTTCCAAAAACAGAGAACTGACACTGTTCCCATAATCCCACCTCTTAAGACACAATGACTGCATATTCATAGCTTTTTTGCTAAATAATAGCTTATTAATCTACTTGTGATCTATGATTCTTAAACTTCATTCGGGCCAGCAGGTATCATCATTTAACACAATTCTAGTATTCTGCCAACTCCTTTTATACCTGATGTTCTGAGGTCTAAAAATGAACTGTCTCTGGATTCTAAACGGTGCAATATAAGCTCACTTCAAAGAAGATGTAGCTACAATACTAAAAGAAGTAAGGAAAGGGAGAAGTGAGAATGAACAAACTTACCTTGTCCCCGGTGGCAGTGAAAGTTATTCAAGTGAATTATCTCTTCACTGTTGTTTCCCTCTGCCATTTTCAAATGCAGACATACACGTATGTGATTGCTAATATCTAAACATGACGATCATCTGTTCCAAAGGGTCTGAAAAAAGAAGAAAAGAGGAACGTTAAGAACGAGGGAGTATCAAAACTCTTCCCAAATATCTGATCAAGGTAGCATTCAAAGCTTATGCTGAAAACATCCCTTAAGAAAACACAAACTCAAAACATAGCACTAAAAAAATACTGTGTATGTTAAATAGACAAAGGACTGACAAAGTATTCACATCCAGATACAAATATCCTAACCAAAAAATGGGCTAAGGAGATAAACAGGCAATTCACAAAAAAGAAAACAAAAAAAGACACTCAATCTCACTAGTAATCAGGGAAGGCAAATCAGAAAATGAGTCATGTTTCAAACCATTAAGCTGGCAAAAAAGGCAAGCATGTGAGAAATGGGAAATCTTTCAGCAATTATTGCACATCAGGTAAACCTCATTGGTTATAATACTGCCACTGTGTGAAGCTTGAGAAATAGGAAATCTTATACATTTCTGGTTTAGAGAGTAACTTGAAAAGCTATTTTGGAGAGCAATTGCCAATACTCACTAAGTTAAAAATGTACATTCCCTGTGACTTAGCAATTCCTCTTCTAGGTATATTAACTAAAGAAACTTGTGAATGTTCTCCAGGAAGTATGCATAATAGAAGATGTGAAATTAATCAGGCATGGTGGTACATGCTGTAGGCCCAGCTACTTGGGAGGCTGAGGCAGGAGAATCATTTGAGCCTAGGAGTTTGAGGTTGTAGTGAGCTATGAAGATGCCACTGTATTCTAGCTCAGGCAACAGAGCAAGACCCTGTCTCAAAAAAGAAAAAAAAAAGATGTGGATAAGAATGATTGCTACAGCAATATATGTAATAAAAGCAATTGGAAATGTGAACTTACTGAATATCAGTAAAGGAACGAATAAATAAAATTCATACATGGATACAAGACAGTTAAACACTAGATCTAAAAATATCATGGATAACTCTAAAAACAATGTTAAATGAAAATGTGTTATTTACGTAAATTTATATAAAATTTAAAATATTTTACTTAAATATTAAAAATACCATATGCATAAGAATGAACACACCAACTTCAGGACAGTGGCTATTTCTGTGAAAGGGGGATTGAAAAGGAACTAAGGCTTGAACTTGAGTTATATATAACAGCTTTTTTCTTTCTTTTAAAGATATTTCAAGCAAACAAGGCAAAACACGAACATATGTTAAATCTGGATAGCAGATTTGGGTAGTAGTTTTTTGTATTTTTGAAATCCTTTCCTCTCTTTCTTTTTAAAAAAAGATATAGTGGCACTAAAGCCAAGATAATACCTTTCCATGGACCAGCAATGAAACAGAAACACAGAAGTTAGGGAAGGGGCTAAAGCTGCAGAACTACTGGGGTCTGGGGCTGAGAAGCAGGGAGAAGCACTTGTTGAAAGATGATGGAGGTCAACCAATCAAAGTGGAAAGGTCATGGTAAACACTCTGAGCTTTCATGTGAGAGGCTAAGAGAGCCATGCCTTGAGGGTTAAGAGCAACATTAAAACAGACCTAAAAAAAGCCTAAAACCAAACATTGACAGAATCATGATGATTTACCAGTACACCATTTGCCCACCTAAAAACCTTAAACCACAACAGAAGATCACTTGGAGCCTCTTTTTTCACCCATAATGTCAAGTCTCTGATAAAAAAAATTACAAGGCCATGCATGACCAAAACAACACACACACACACACACACACACACACACACACACACACACACACACAGAGCTAAAAGGAACAAAGGAAAACAAATGAACAAAAATACAAGGGAAAGACTAGAAACAGAAACCAACTCACATGTGATTCATGCACTGGAGTTACTTAATAGGGACACAGAAATAACTATGTACCCCCAAACAGGGGAAAAGGATGAAAAAATTGTTGAAAAGAGATCAACATAGCAATTTATAAATAGCATCCTGGACAAAGCAGAAAAAAGTACTAGTGAACTAGAGGACAGATCAAGAGAGTATTTCTAAACTAAAGCAGAAAAAAAGGAATGGAAAACACAAAAGAATATAAAAGATACAGTCAAAATTTATAAAATCTGTGTAACTGGAGAGAGGGAGAAGGATTTCTTCTTTTAAAATATGAGTTAAGTCCAGACGCCGTGGCTCACGCCTGTAATCCTAGCACTCCAGGAGGCCGAGGCGGGCGGATCGTTTGAGCTCAGCAGTTCGAGACCAGCCTGAGCAAGAGCGAGACCCCGTCTCTACTAAAAAAAATAGAAAGAAATTGGCTGGACAACTAAAAATATATAGAAAAAATTAGCCAGGCATGGTGGCGCATGCCTGTAGTCCCAGCTGCTCGGGAGGCTGAGGCAGAAGGATTGCTTGAGCCCAGGAGTTTGAGGCTGCTGTGAGCTAGGCTGACGCCATGGCACGCTAGCCCAGGCAAAAAGAGTGAGATTCTTGTCTCAAAAAAAAGAAAAAAAAAAATGAGTTAAACATGGGTTAAAGAAGAAATCACAGTGAAAATTAATAACTATTTTGACTGAATGAACTGAAAGATAATGAAAACAAAATATATCAAGATTTGGCAGAATGGAGAGGAAGCAGGAGATATTTGAAGAAATAATGGCAAACTTGCCAAAAACGATGAAATACATCAACCCATAAATTCTGGAAGTTTTGAGAGCACCAAGGAGAAAGAAAATCACATTTAGGCATATCATATTCAAATGACTTAAAACCAAGACAAAGAGATCATTTTGAAATCAGCCACAGGAAAAAAGATGCATTATTTTCAAAGGAACACCCATCAGACAAATGACTACTTTTCAACAGAAACTATGGGAGCTAGATGACATTGGAATGGTATTTGAAAAGAGCTGAAGACAAAATGCCAACCTAGAGTTGTTAACAAAATGAAAATATCTTTTAATAGTGAAGATAAAGACATTTTCAGACAAATAACAGCTGAATGAATTTCTTGCCAGCAAACCGAATGGAGTTCTTCGGTTCCAAGGAAGATGGTCCTAGGAGGAGGCATATTGGAATGTAAAAGAATACTGACTGCATAATGGAGTAATAATAATGACTCATGGGATTTAAAATATGTGTAGAATTTTAATACATGATTGAAACAGCACAAAAAGCTGGAGAGAAATAAATGGAGTTAAACTATTTTAAGTTTCTTGCTGGGTGGGTAAGGCGGCTCATGCATGTAAACCCTAGCATTTTGGGGGGCCAACGTGGGAGGACTGCTTAAGGCCAGGAGTTCGAAATCAGCCTGGGCAACACAGTGAGACCCTGTCTCTACAAAAAGTTAACAAATTAGCTGGGTGTGGTGGTATGCACCTGTAGTCTTAACTTCTGGGGAGGCTGAGCCAGGAGACTCCCTTGAGCCTACTGGGAGTTGGAGGCTGTAGTGAGATGTGAACATGCCACTGTACCCTAGTCTGGACAAGACAGTGAGATAGTGTCTGTCTGTCTGTCTGTCTCTCATACACACACACACAAAGCTCTTGCAGTGATTGGGAAATGTTAAAAATTCTAATTTAAGGTACACTGTATTAAGTCAAGGATTCATAACCACTAATAAAAGAATGTGTATCTAAAAAGCTTAGAGACAAATGGTATAATTAAAAATAAGCAATCACTGCAAAAGAACACATAAAGAGAGGAATAAAGGATCAAAGAATGGGACCAAAAAAAATCACTTAAAAACTCAATTACACAGAAATTATCTTTTATAAACTTACTATGCCAATTAAAAGATATATTTTATCAGAATGGATAAAACTAAGTGGTATTTCAGAAGATACACTTTAAGTATTAGGAAACTGGAAGCTTTAAAGCATGGAAAGCCATTAACACCTCATCTAATGCGTTCTTAATTTCAGATATTGTATTTTTCAGTATACAATGTCCATTTGACTTTTTAATGACAAATTTCAATTCTCTTTGCAATTATTTTGTTTATCTTTTCTTCTTTTTTTGGTGCAACAAAACCTTTAAAAAACTGGATGAGCATATTAATAACAGATGAAGTAGACATCACAGTATTATTAGAGACAAGTAGGGCGATTTCTTCCAGATAAAAGGGTCAACTCACAAAAAATATAATAATCCTAAATGTGTATGAATCTAGTAGCATAGCTTCAAAATACATATAGCTTAAATGGACCTTAAGGAAAGAAGACAAATCTACTTACAGCCAGATAGAGAACTTAAATAGCACTATCAAACAGCTTGACCTAGTTGACACTCCACCTGACAACTGCAGAATACACATTCTTTTCAAGTGTACAAGGAACATTCACAGACTACATACTGAGCCATGTAGTTAGCCTGAACAAATTTTGAGGGCTTGAAATCATACAGCATATATTATCTGACAAATCAGTAAAAGAAAGACAACCAGGATATTTTGAAATATTGGAAATTTAGCAACCTAAACAACACATGGGTTAAAGAAGAAATCACAATGAAAATTACATTGACTGAATGAACTGAAAGATAATGAAAACAAAATATATGAAAATTTGTGGAATGCAATTACAGCAGTGCTTAGAGGACAATTTACAGTTCCAAATGTATATTTTAAAGAAAAAAGACTAAAAATCAATGATCTAAGCTTTGATCTCAAATTGAAAAATGCAATAAATTAAATCCAGAAAAAGTAGACAGAAAAAAAAATTAAAAGAGCAGAAATCAACAAACTGCTACAACTGAGAAAAATCTAAGCAAAAAGTTGGTTCTTAAAAAAATTAATTAATAAACATCTATCAAGATTAAGAAAACAGAAAACACAAATTACTATTATTAGGAATATAAAAGAAGACATCATTACAAATTCTACAGGTATAAAGAAGGTAAGATAATATTATCAATAAACTTTTATCAATTGGCTTGAAATTGTGGGTGAAATGGATAAACACCTTGAGGCATAACTTACCACAAATGAACAAAACAAATTTAAAAATATGCATAGTTACCTAACAAAGAAACTAAATCAATAATCAATAACCTTCCCCCCAAAGTTCTGTCAGCCCAGTG